CGCCCCCGGCGGAGCGCCCGCCTTCGAGCGCCCCCTGGCGGAAGGGCAGGGCCTATGGCAGGGGGATGGGAATGAGGATGGACAGGGAAGAGAGCCGGGATAAGGGCAGGGGTGAGGACATGGAAAAGGGCAGGGACAGGAGCTTCAGGCAGCCTGGGCTGGGCCCCCCACACTCTACCCCATAGCTGCCCGTCCCTAATGCTTCTTTCCCCGCAGGACTGCTGGTGGCAGCCAGAGCTCCAGGCACGGGCTGGGGGCGGCCGGACGCCCGGGGCACACGGCTCTTCGGGCAGAGCTGCCCCCGGCCCGCGGGACAAGGGGCCGGTCAGGAGCCAGTCAGGAGCGGGGGGCTGCCCGAGGGCGTGGAGTACATCCCCACACGCAAGAAGGGCAAGAACCCGATGAAGCCGGTGGGGGTAGCCTGGTGAGTGACTCAGGTGGTGGGAGAGGTCGGCACTGGGAGGGCCGGGGTGGAACAGGGTTCTTGGGGATCTGTCCATGTAGCTCCAGCATGGCACAGCACCCTTGCTCCCCCACCCACTCTCTCCATCTCCTTGACTGCTGGCTGTCCTGCAGGGCCATTGGGTTGCCTTCCGGCATCATCCTCTTCCTCCTGACCAAGCGGCAAGTGGACAAAAACCGCCTTGAGCAGCAAAAAGCCCGCAGAGCAATGATGGAAGCCAACCAGGGCGAGTACGATTCAGAGAGATACGGCAGGATGGCCAGGGGGGCATAGCCAAGCTGCTGGCCATCTGGTGACACCAGCCCCATGAACACATGACAGTGGCATCTGCCCTGCCTGTCCAGACCATGATGTGGTTGTGGAGCTGAATAGGAACAAATAAAGTGAAACAGCTCAGTGCCACTGTGGTTGCTCCCTCAATGCTCAGCCCCAGGCTCTGCCTGCCTGAGCAGTGGGGGCCCCAGCTGTTCTGCAGCTGGACTTCTGCCCACAACACCAGGGGCTACAGGCAGGGGAGGGAGGCCAGCCTTGGAGCAGTGTGACCTTGGCTTTCCCTTCCCAAATCAGTGTTTGTGCTGCACCAGGCCACAGCCCCCACTGAGTCTGCCCACAGGTTTTCTGAGGGAGTTGCCACACGAGTAAGACTGGGACTGTCTGGAAAACTGAAGTGTTTTATTTAGCAAGAGCAACTTTGCCGACATCCGTGGCTGCAGGGCCTCTGCAATGTGAGCTCTGCCACAGAGGTCCCAGCTGCCCCCTGCCCACACCGGGCACAGCCGCAGCCCAGGGAGGGGGCATGGCCAGAGCCACATTTAAGGCACAGAGTGAATGGCACCAACTGTCCTCTGCCAAAAAATCCCAAAATGACCCCAGCAGCCGCTGCCAGCTCCCTGTGCCCAGGCAGGGCTGTGACATTCCGCTGCCAGCCCAATGCCATTGGCACAGCCTCTGTAAGCGGTGCCAGGGCTGGGCTAAACTGCCTAAACGCTGGCAACCAGTCCCCCCACTGCCCTCAGAGCTTGTTGGGGGATGATCAAGGGAAGCCCTTTCCTTAGCAGCCTACAGGTAGGAATGCCAAAGCATTAAGAGTCACAGTAAGCAGACTATCCTGTACAGAGACCAGAGGAGGGGTGGGGGCAGCCGGAGAGGGACGGGAGGGGTCCCAGGGCTAATCCCGGCCCACTATCTGCAGGAGGAAGGTGAAGATGTAGATGATGTCAGTGTAAATGGTGAGGGCACCGTAGACATACTCCTCGGGGCTCAGCGTGTTCTTCCTGTTTCCCAGCACGAGTTGGGTGTCATAGGCAAGGAACTGCAGGGACAGAGGGTGTCAGGCAAGGAGCACGGGGGATTCCTCCCTCCCCAGTGCCCGCCCCACTCACCAGTGTGAAGGCGATGGCCCCGATGGCCGCGTACAGCATGTGGAGCCAGGGCACCTGCACGGGAAGGGAGCACAGCACGGTGAGCCGGGTGCAGGCAGGCAGCAGGCGAGGCAGGGCATGTCCTGCCTCCTCCCGGCTCCAGAGGGGCTGCTGCCGATGCTGACACACCCTCTCCCTGCAGGCAGGCTGCCTTCCACACCCTGCTTCCAGCAGAGGGACCACCCAAACCCCCTGCCAGCCCCAGCCCTGGGGACAGCCAACCGGGAACACCCAGGCTCCCCACAGCCCCTCTCTCCTTCCCACTCACGTATTTGAAGGAGAGGACGATGGCAGTGATGATCCCGGTCACCATGACCACGATGCCCAGCACGCAGAATAGCCCCGGACACGATGTAAAATCAACCTGATATGGAGGGGGGACACACAAATGTCACAGGAGAGCCCAGGGTGTCCTCACTGACCAGCTCCCCACACCTGGCCCATAGAGGGCAGGGGGCATCCCTCTCCTTGCCTTGGTCTGGAAGCAGAAGATGGTCACAACGATGGCCACAATGGCGGTGATGAGCATGGCAATCAGGACAGCTTTCGTGTTGTACATGCTACAGACAAAGAAAGTTACCTCCCATTCCAGTATCCTCCTGCCAGAGGGGTGCTGGAGACCCTCCCTCACAGCCCCAGTCCTGGACAGGAACTCTGCAGTCCCTGAGCCCAAGGGACCGGAGCATCCCCTGGCTCCTGGCAGCCTCTCAGCTGAGCTGGCTGCAGAGTGGGGGACGGGAGGGACCCCAGATCTGTAACAGCAGGGTCCCCAGGGCATACCTGGCAATGGTGCCCGTCATCAGCCCCATGGCCAGCGTCTGTGGGAGAGAAGGGTGAGCTCAGTAGGCTGCCCACCTGCCCACATGTCCTCCTGTCCCTCCCAGCACACCCAAGGGGAGCTGGGGTGCCACGGGGGCACCACCAGGACCCCCTGCCAGTCCCAGCCCACTCACAAAGATGCTCAGCAGGATAATATTCCAGGGAAAGCGTCTCCTGAGAACGAAACAGGAGAGAGGTAAGTTAGTGACAGCAACCATGTCATGTCCCCCTGCTCCCCACCACCCAGGGGCAGCCCCAGGCAGGAACCTATCTTGATGTTCTGGAGACAAACCCCATACCCACACACCCACCCTGGGGGCCCTAGGGGCTCACCGGGGACCCTGGCAGCAGGCCAGCACCAGGTAGGTCACCAGGAACACAGCACTGCAAGGAGAGACAGCAGGTGTGAGCCCCACAGGATCACACCCTGGGAGGCTCTGTATGTGGGGGCACAAGCTGGGGGGGCATAAGCCAGCAGAGCCCTACTCACTATGAGGCGTAGTAGATGGCAACATTCCTCTGGACGAAGGAGCGGACAGGGTGGCTGTGGGACAGCAGGGACAATGTGAGGGAGAGCAGACAGCAGCTACTGTCCCTTCTGAACACCCCCAGGGAACTTAAGCTGCTCTTTTTCATGAGGAACCCTCTACTCACACAAAGGTGAACACAGAGATGATTCCCACTGTCACCAGGAGCTGCAGGGAGATGATGGCATAGACCTGCGAGAGACAGGGGGGTCAGCACTTGGCCCCCCACCCTGACAGCTGCCCCTGGCCCCTCGGGACGCACCTTGCGGATGAAGGCGTGCCGGACTTTCCTATCCTCCCAGTCAACTGATTCGAAGGCAGAGCCATCCCCGAGGCCACTGTCACCTGCGGGGGACAGCCCTCAGCACCAGGGTCAGCATGCAGCCCCTCACAGCACTCCTGTTTCTAGTACCCTCCCCCAAATAAAGCAAGGTGCCCCACTTACCGAACCGCATGGGCATGGAGGGCATGGCCACGCCGGGATGAGGGTACGCCCCTGACGCTGGGTACCCCCCTGGCTGCGGGTACCCCGCCCCCGCAGGGTACCCCCCAGGCTGCGGGTACCCCCCGCCATAGTGGGGCGGCTGGGGGTACCCGCCGGGGGGCGGGGGGTAGAGGGGGTTCTTGTCATCGTAGAGCGGGGGGGCGCTGGGACGCGACATGCCGGCTCCCTGCACCTCCCACGGGCACCTGCAGGGGACAGAAGGCGCGGGGGCTTCAGCACAGCTCACCTGGGCAGCACCTGTTCGGTGAGTGCAGCCGCAGGGACAGAGGGGATCGTGCAGCCACAAATCCTCCCCCTCCCACTTTAATAGCGGCTCCTAATGAGTAAGGGCAAGGTGGCCTCAATGCCAGCAGGTCAATAAGAGACCAGGGATATCCCTTGGCTGGGGCCACCCGCATTCCTGTGCCCTGAGTCCCCGGCACCCGCGTCAGTGGCCGGCCGCGGGCAGGGCACAGCCACGCGCTGACTCAGGCTGTGCCGGGCTGTGACCTTTCCACAGGTACCTGACCCCTCTGGCCGGGACCTTTCCACAGGGACCTGACTTCTCCTGTCTTTGAAGCCTTCCCTGAGATTGCCAGGGAGGAAGGAGCAGCACCCCTGGCTGGTCTGTGGCTCCTGGTGGCACCACACTGAGGACAAATGCCATCACCCTGACAACTGCCTGGGATGGAAACACAGGCTCTGATCGTCATCATAGCCATGCAGATCCCACTGCCACTCCCATTTCAGGGGTGTCCCCCACCCAACAGCCGCATGCGTCACACAGGGGCTCCAGAACTCTTCAGTCCCTTTTAAGGGGATGTGACACCCACATCCCCTCTACAGGAGATGGACTCTACCTCGGGCAGCAGACCTGGGACCCCCCTGGTGCTGAGCTCCCCTCCTTGGCCACACCAGGCCCCCTCACAGAGCCCCCAGCAGCTGTGAGCAGGCAACCTGGGCTCAAGGCCAGCTGGGCTTGGTCCCAGCAGGAGGAGGAGAAGGAAAGCAGGATCTCCAAGGCCAGGAAAACAACAGCGCTGCCAGTAGAGAGTGCCAGGCCTTTATCCACCTCCCACCCCCTCAGCACTGGCACCCCAGAGCCCAGGAAGGTGCCAGGACCCCCCAGCACCCTCCTGCCCGCAGCAGTGATGTGATCTTGGGACCATCCCAGGGAAGGAACGAGGATCTGTTGCTAACCAGGCCCAGACTAGGAGGGGATTGGGCCCTTCCTCCTGTGTGACGCCAGTGCTTCCTTCCCACGGCCCGGGGCACACCCATGCCAGCCATGCCGGGCTGGGAGAGCAGTTCCGCGCCTGTCCCTCCATCCCTCCTGCCACCCAACTGTGCCAGCCACGACAGAGCTGCCACAGTCACACTGCCTTTCCTCATGGCGATGACGACAGCACCAAAAATAAATAACCGGCGTGGCAGTGACCATGCGGACGGGAAGTTCACTTTCTCCACACTGGTTTCCCAGAAAGCACAGGGGACCCCCTGGCACCGCCTCATCTGTGGGGCTAGGGAAGGGCCCAAAACAGGACCCTGACCCTAGGAAAGCCTCTGTGACTGACACTCAAGTTACAGGGGAACCAGAGTCCCCAGGAGGGAGCCCAGGTGTCTGGGGAAAGCGAGGTGTATTTGGGTGGCACCAGATCAGCAGGGTCCTACCCTGTGCCCATGACCAGCACCTTGGGACTGCTCCAGCCCCTTGGGACTGCTCCAGCCCCTCCTGCTTCCACCGCATTGGGGTAGCCTTGGGCACGGGGAAGGAACCAGCCTGACGGGTCCCAGCAGCTGCCACACCCAGGGAAGCAGGCAGCCGAACCCTCCACGGTCCATGGCACTGCACAGTCCCGAAACTCAGGTCACCAGTTGGATGGTAGGTGGCAACCTGGGGCCAGCTCAGTGGCATGACACGGTCCCTGGGGACAGGGTGCTACGCTGCACTGGCACCGTGACTCAGCACAGATAAGGCACATATAGCAGGCACATGGGACACAGCCAACCATCATCCCTTCCACAATCTCACAGGCAGCACAGGTTGTGTCCCCACCATCCACCGTGGCACTCCTGCCAGACTTGGGCCCCTGCCACAAGCTCCACAGGTTCCTGGGGGAAACACAACCACCTTAGGAGGGAATCATGGTTTGGGGCACGGGACAGAGCTCCCTACTTTCAGGCTGCCTGAGAAAGCACCTCACTCTTGAAGAACTTGGAAGCTCCCACCAGTACAGCACGGATTGCTACAACACAGCCTAGTATGGCGCAGCAGAGTGGCACAGCCTGGCATGGCATGGCACAGCCTGGTACAGTACAACAGGGCACAGCTGCCTCCTGCAGCACAGCACGGCTCAGTACAGCACAATCCAACAGCACAGCACAACTCGGCCCGGCCCGGCCCAGCCCAAGCTAGTCGTGCTCAGTTGAGACAAGAGTCAGTACGGCCCACCCAGGCGGGATGTCCTGGCTGGCCCACACTGCTAACACACAACACAAGCTTGCTGGGGCTCGTTATCGCCTCTCCCACATCCCTGCCCCTCTGCAAGCTCTCTCGGGGGCACAGACATGGGACAGAGGCGTCCTCCTGTGCCCCAGCCCTG